AGGGCATCTCGCTGGAGGAACTTCACCAGACGCTTATGGGAGGCAACCTGGACGCCAAGGAGATTGCTCGTGCTAAAGATGGGCAGGCCATGAACTTCCCCGATGGCATTGCAGAGTGTGGCACAGATGCACTGCGCTTTGCGCTCGTGGCGTACACATCCCAAGCGAGGGACATAAACCTGGACATCAAGCGCGTGGTGGCCTATCGGCACTGGTGCAACAAGCTGTGGAACGCGATCAAGTTTGCCATGATCAACCTTCCTGAGGATTTCACGCCGGCCACAACTCTAGACGTGAAAACATTCCCAATGGCAAGTCGGTGGATCCTCAGCCGACTGAGCTGTACGACCAAATCTGCCGTCGCCAAGCTGGAGGCTTACGACTTCGGGCCCTCCACCCAGGTGATCTACTCCTTCTGGCAGAACGACGTCTGCGACGTCTTCATCGAGCTCATGAAGCCGGTGATGGCCCTCGACGAGGCCCTGGCCGAGAACTGCGAACGGAAGCGTGCAACACGGGAGGCCCTGTGGCTATGCTTGGACACTGGCCTCCGCCTGCTGCACCCCTTCATGCCGTTTGTCACTGAGGAGCTGTGGCAGAGGCTGCCCAGGCGGGAGGACCAAAAATCCACGCCCTCCATAATGGTTGCTCCATACCCTGTGGCGGAAGATGCTTGGGTCGACCAGGAGCTGGAGTCGAACATGGCATACATCGACTCAGTCGTCACGAGGACACGGCAGATGAGGTCGGATTATGGCCTGACGAACAAACAGAAGCCGACCCTGTACATCGCCTGTGCAGATGCGAAGATGTCCGGCGTGTTGTCATCAGCGGCCCGCGATATTCAAACCCTGAGCTACTCATCAGCTGTGAATGTCGTGGGGGAGGGAGCGCCATTGCCAAAGGGGTGCAGCGCTGCGGTGCTGGATGCAACGACGAGCTTACACATTGAGCTCACTGGGATCCTTGACCCAAGCAAGGAGCTCGCGAGGCTGCGCAAGAAGATGGGAGAAGCGGAGGCCGCCAAGGAACAGCTCAACAAAAAGATGCTCATGCCGTCCTATGCGGAGAAGACGCCAGAGAGCGTCAAGAGCGAAAATGTGGAAAAATTGGCGAAGAAGGAGAGCGAGATTGACAGCATACGGAAGTGCATATCGACGATGGAGGAAATGGTGGAGGGAGCCTCCTAGGACGGCGGAGGCGTGATTTGTGCCGTCGTTTCTGCGGTGTTTGTTTGGGATTGGTACCTGCGGAGTGGCAGTGGTCGAAAATTGGGTAATGTAACGATAGGGTGCCTGTGTGCTCTCTGTGTTGACTCGCGACACTCTCTGTTTGCGGCGAACTTCGCCTTCCTTGGCTCCAGCTGGCCAATTGGCCGAGCATATGGTAACCTGCGCGCCCCCACTGCCCTCCTGCCTGAAAGGAGAACAACGCCGAAGGCAATGCCATGCAAGGTCTGTTTTTGTCGCCCCCTGTGCGTCAAAAGTTCCATCAGTCTGCACGTTGCAGCACATGTGCTCAACGTGCACAGTCATCACAACGGCCCCCGTTCGGGAGGGAATGGCGCTGAGGGGCATGTGCCCCAATTGCACGTGAGCTGGTCCCTTGTTCCCCCTTTCAGCTGCTAGCCCTCCAGGAGACTCTGTCTTCTGCTGTGTTCCTCCAATTGTTTGGCAGACAGTGCCTCGTGTGGGCTCGGCACAGTCGTGGCATTGGCCTTCGGGCGTCAGTTCTGAGTCGGTGACAAAACTTTCCGTCGCTTCCATGAAGTATCGGAAAGCGAAACATTAGAAGTTTGAGTGGTAGTGTTCCATTCAATCCAGCACGTGGTGCCATACAATGACAACCGTTTCATTGGGTTGATCACTCATGTTAATGTAGGGAGTTTGGCGTGGTTGAACATGTCCCTGTTTACTCACGTGGCTACATCCTTAGTATTCGTTTCCCAGAGGGATCAGCTGAAGCAGCATTTCGTCGGTGGTATTTGGGCAGTACTACATAGGGGGCCTTGGACACTCGGGTGAGCTAGGCAGGCTGCACAGGCTGTCATAGCCAGTGCATAACGCCCTTGCTCATTGAGGACCGTTTGGACAACCTAACGAGGAAAGGGGTATAATCTGGATGCTTCCTGGATAAGTGGATTTTTGCATGCCACGAAATGTTGCATCCAGGTAAGACATCAAATCCACATGTGTACAGTTGGGTTTGTTTGGACTATCTGGTTACCACCAAGTGTACGCCCCGTACCTAACCACGAGCGGCATGAGGGCGTATGAGTTCGTGCGCCATTGAATGGTTACATAGGCATCCGCCACCAACACGCATGCACAAAGGCTCTGGGGCCCTAAGTCCTGCCTTAGGGGAAGCGAGCCAGAGCAGGAACCCGTCATAAAGGGACCGGTACACCTGGGCTGGATTGTTGGCTGTATCGTGCATCAGGGATGGGCGGTGTTAAGGTTTTCAGAAGCACAAAAGGAGAAACAGTGGTTGCAGGGAGCATGGGGAGGGGCCGCTGCTTTGGAAAGGCAATACGAGTTGCAGGCAGGGCACTTAGCCGAGACCTGGAATCTGCCCATGTTTTGTGTGGGGGGAAGGTTGGCACCTGCGCCACTACCATGAAAGGCATAATGTCTCCTTTCCCGCATGTATTTGGGCCATGCTGGCCCATGCTGGCCCAGCACAGTCTGTAGTTGCCTAGATCCAATGTTCAGCTGCCACGGTGCCCAGCAGAGGCCCTTCTCCGCCAAGAACGCCCCGTCGACTCCCAGGCAAACTTGTGGGCTCATTCAAAACGAGTGACAGTTACAGCCAGCCATTTGGACACATTCTGCAGCCTCTCCAAGTTCGTTATTTTCTATTCTTCACTCCCGCAAGGCGCGGCCCTGCTCACCCCAGCCACCCGCCCTCTGGACAGAGTACAACTAATACAAGGGATGCCCCACAGGGCAGTCAGGCCCGCAGCAGCGGGCACAATCCTTCGTATAAATATCTGGAGACCCTCTACCATGTACACAATTCGACATTCAAAATCTTGGGCGAAGATGTCTTCGCGGCGATGAGCAAAATGAGCAGCTACCACGGGCAGGGCATGGGCCGGACCCTCTCCCTCTACCCCCAGCCCCAACCATCCCCATTCCCCCACACCTACCCATCCCATATCACCCAGAAACGTCCTTGTGCGCATTGATGTCAGATAGAGCGAAAGCCATGGGCTCCATGGCCCCTGGGACTGTGAACAAAACGTCATTGGCAGCCGCTAGGTCACCGGTTTCAGATGGCTGGTGGCCTATCCGTACGCCCGGATATACTGAAGCATGCCTGTCCCTCATCCCAAAGTGTTCGGGCTGCCAAGGATTCCTGCCGCGATCCCGGGCAGTCAAATCATCAGCCGCGCCTAAGCACCCTATCTTCTCCACGGTGTCAGGCAAATGCCCCTGGGTGTTGCCAGGCAGACCAGAGTTGTGCATGGAGTCGAAAACGCTCTGGACGTCAAAAATACTGCCCATATCCACAACCTGGTCTTCCTGCAGACCCTGCAACAGTTCTTCCTTCTGGTTGGGCGCCAGGGCACCACAGTGGGTCACGACAGGGTGCTGGCCGTGTTGCGCATGCAACTGTTGCCAAAAAGCCGGGTCGTAGGCAAAATTCGCGGTGGCCATGACAGGTGTCTCCCCTGCATTACCGCACACGTAGGAAGAGAACGTGTTGCGTTCTTCACTGACTGGCTCAGCCACTTGGGCCAGGGGGCGACCAAAGGCAGCCGAATCCGCTATTGGTGTTGAGAACTGCGAGAAGTCCATGAAGAAGGGCCCCGATGGGACCACGGAGGCTGTAGTTGGCATGTGAACGGCAGTGGCAGGTGCGCATGGGTACATACTGCACAACACAGCACAACAGAATTAGCAACATCCATGGGCAACTCACGAGGTGAACTCTGGTGCAGAAGGATCAATAAGCCGTTGTCGCCACAGACTGGGCCATTCTGTTTTGCATCGTGCAGGTCAGCATGCATCCTCAGTTGCTGAACATGCCCTGCAGACAGTTTCGCCATCTGGCTGAAGCGGGATCCCGGCCCATAAGCGTCCTGGGCAGATGAACTTCAGAATAACTTGCAGAGACACTTGGGGCGCAGGAGGCCACTTTGGTAAACAGCCTTCAGATCTGCACCCCTCCAAAAGCTGCAAAGCACCAGGCGGCTGGAGCGAGCCAAGAAGTGCCAGACACGAGTTGCAGTGCAATGGCGTCTTCTCCAAGGCTGGTATCAAACCACCCGGACCCACACTCGAGGCGCTCGCCAAGGCTGCGACGCATCCACACGATGCCACGCACAAAGCCTTCCCTGCACCTGCGCTGGCGTACGGAGTGATCGCCGGCCGTACAACGTGAGCACACAACCACAACATGCGCAACTGCGGCCCGCGGTCGCGCCAACCACCAGCCGAAAACTGTTCCGATGGCCAGGAAGCCGGTAGCCCCTTTCAGAAGCTCAGTAGAGCAGGCTCCACCTGCACTGCCTGCCGCCGGGCAGACCGGTCAACACGCTCGCACCGGCGTCAAGAACGCACCTCTGCCACTGAATCGTCGGCTGTTGGAGGGGCGCCTCGGGCGCTGGCTGCTTCCCCAGCACAGGCGGCATCCCCGTCCTGGCCTTCTTTCTGCTGTCGTTGCCGGGGAGCAGATCTCCCAGCTGGCTGGTCAGCTGCGTGAGGTCGCCCTGCAGCAGAGCAGCCAGGCCACACGGCGTGAGAAGCAAACTAAACGGCTGAAGGGCGAAAGGCACCGTGCGGAAACCCCGGGCACTACAGCCCACCGGCGAACGCGCAGGCAATCAGATCGCCGCTCGCCCGCAGAGGCAGCCGAGGAAGGGGCGCCAAAGCGACGGTATCTCCCATAGTTCCGGAATTTCGTCGGGCCTGGCGTCCGACACGGCAGAGCAGCGGCCGGCCCGGCACCAGGCGCGCCACCACCCTCCCATCCCCTCAAACAGGCCAGCGAGCAGGGCCGACACAGCCACCAGCCGGCATCCGGGTCGATCGCCCCGCCCGCACCGGGCCCCTCCCGCCATCACACAGCGCCGAGCCAGGGCTCTTCGCCACCGCGTCATGTCCCCCCCACCCCACCCCACCCCACCCCACCCCACCCACCGTGCTGGGCGCCCGGCGTGGAAAGCTCGCCGAGGCATCAGATGCACATCGCGTCAACTCCAGCGGCGACGACACAAAAGCTCATCCCGCCAGCCCAGCCCACACCACAGCACCCATACACCCACACTGCCCCGGGCGGAGATTCCCCCCGCAGCACCCACCACGGAACAGCACGTCGCCAGCGCCATATACGCCGAGGCCACGGCGCCATCTCGCAAAGCCAGCGAGCCCCCCTCGGGGGTGGGGTGTGTGGTGGGGGTCCCACCCAACAGCCAACTCACCTTTGACGGCTGGTTTCCCTTTCGCCGGCCTTGTCGGCTGCCGCCCCGCCCGCCGAAGCACCCCACGTGGTGCTTCCCCGGCTTGAGCTCCATCCCGCACTTGGGGCAGCCCGCTAGCTCCGCGCCATGGCCGCGCTCCTTGCCCGAGCCGCGCACGTCCGGCGGGGCGCGGTAGTGCACCTTGAGGCGCCAGAGTTCCGCGAAGGAGCGGTTGCAGCCGGGGAAGGGGCAGTAGAACCTGTTGGGGTCGTAGGGCTTGGTGGTGCCCTTGCGGGGGGCCGATCCTGAGGACGCGACGGGCACGCCCGGCGGATTGGCATCCATGGGCGAGGCGCCCCCGGGATCTCAGTGTCGCCCCTGCCACGAGCGAGGCGGGCGGCCGGGGGACTGGGTTGCCTGCCCGGGGTGCCGGGCTCCCTGGAAAGCGCCGGGCCGTGGGGCGCCGGGCGCGAAAGGTCTTGGCTTGGGCGCCTGTGGTGCAGGAGGCGCGCTGGGCGCCCGAGCCACATGCGGGGGATTGCCAACGTTGCGCGCTTACTAAATCGAAGGTCACCAACAACGGGGGATGGGCGGGGGGGGCGGTACAGGGGCGGGGCAGGGCTGTGGCGGAGGCTGGGTGGATGGTTTTGATGAGGGGCGATCATGCGTCGCGTCAGCAGTCATGCGGCGAGCGTCAGCCGTCAGCCCGCGGCGCACGCCCCTGGGTCGCAGGTCGCGCCCCCACTGCCCGCAGCCCGCACCCAAAAGGGGCGGCCGTCTTCACGCGAATCTCCCGTTTTGGGTTGGGAGGAAAAAGGTACAGGTTTAGTGATCGATCTCGGGGCTTTCGTGGCCGGATGATGTCACGAGGAGCGGCCTCAGGCGTTCGAGAGCGTTACGCGATTGGTAGGTACAACGCGCCCCGCCATCCCGCTTCTGACACGTTGCACACCGGCGGCCGCTCAGGTTGTCCGGCATCTGTACTGGCTTGTGTTGCACCTGTGCGGGGGCGTACGTTAAATCCGACCCGACCTTTGGCATCAACACTGGTGGCTCCCATATAATGAGCTGTTCGTGACGGCCGTTACCGTAGTTTTTTAAGCCCTTCCGCATAGTAACGTAGCGCTGGGCCCTTTTTTGCGGAGTCGATGAATATAAAAGTAACGGTGCCGGAGCGAGATGCGGAGCAGCCTAATTTAGTAACGGCAGGGGAGCGGCTTCAAAACGGGTTTGGCCCCGGCACGTGGCAGGCTACTGAGCGGTCCATCGGCAGGCAGGCCGGCGCCCGCCGCTTGCCTACCGGGCGAGTTGGGCCTCAAACCACGGGAAGCGATCGCAGGCATATGCCTGCGCCATCGCGGATCGACCCGGGCAGCCGATTGCGTCGCATGGCCTGCCGCCGATTGGATACGCGAAAGCCCACGGTGGGCCGGCCACCCCACCTTGCGCCATCCTCTCCGCGCTCCCCGCCATCCGGCAGGCTCATGGGTGACCGATCGGCATGCAGGCGCCCGCTGCTTGCCATCCGGGCGGCGGGGAGAGTGGGCGCTTATGCCGAAGGTGCCAATACGGAATGGCACAGGCGGGGAGTGGGCGCGGTCGGCGGGCGTGCGCCCATTGGCCAACGGCCGACAAGGGGTGCGGCGCCTGCAGGGGGGCGCGGCGCCCCCGGGGGGGGGAGCGCGGCGACCCGAAGGGGGGGGGGGGCGCGGCGCCCATATTTGATATAAAGGGGGGAAAATTGAGGGGGTGGAAAGGGGGGAAAGGGGGGAAATGAAGGAGGAAGAGAGGGTTCATTATATGATCCAACAAAAGTACTATGAAACATTAAATTCTACATAATTGTTATTGTGTGGTTTCGCTGTTCGCGCTCCTCGCTCGCGCTCATACACGGTCGCCTGCAGGCACAGGGAGTAAGCCGCAACCAGATTGATTACAGAATGGTTCTGTCCGTCATGTAGCATTCACTGCAAGCATGTTTAGTTCGTGTCTTTCCCCCATCATTCTCCGTGTCGCCATATAAAAACCGTACCCGATGCACCACACTCACTTAATTACTTATACACCTTTTTCTTATCCTCACACGCTTCCCTGCGCCAAATGAAACATGACTTGAAATACCATCAGTTTAAACCATATCATGGTACGGCTGATACGGTTGCTTTGGTAGATGAATTAGATGTATTTGATTACCCTAAATGGGTCTGAGTTGGGTAAACTGGCCCTGGGGTGGTTACAAAAGACATCGGACAATGAACGGAACAATTAATGACAATCTTGTATAATGTACAAATGTAGTAACTGCCCGGGGATTCCGACTCCCCGTTTCATCCGACCGTGCGCCCGAGGGAGCTTCCAAGCTCCCGCATCATTGGTTTCGGGGCGCGGAGCGTTCGAGCGGCGAGAACACACCGGCCGACGGCCGGAATGGCGAGTGGGGATCCTCGCCAGGAGTCTGGGAATCCGGGGCACGAATCGGCCGGGCAATTGGTGCCCTATCGAGGCGGGCCGACCCCCATGGAACTGAATGAAAACGGCGGAGGAGTGACGGTTGCGCAGCACGGAGAAAGTGAGGATCGGCCGGAGCAGCTATTGCTGCGCCAAGTGGGGGCTGTGGCCGCGGCTGCTGCGAGGAGAGCAACCCTTTTTGCGGTCGCAGAATGGAGCAATTCGGCCGGACAGCAGCAGAATGCCGCTCTCCGCGGCATGGGGGAAACGCTCGGCCGGTAGCTCGAGGCTGCCGCGAATCAATCGACCGCGCAGCAGCTGCAGCAAGGCCACGAGCTGCGCGCCTTGCAGGAAGGTGTGCATGGTAGAATGGCCGCGCAAGAAGGGGCCATTTCGGTGATCGGCGCCGGGCTGGAAGGTGTGAGGCAAAGAGCTGAAATGCAAGCGAGTGAGCTTGGCAGAATGGAGACCGCCATGCAAGGAGAGTTGCGCAAGGCTCAAGACTGGATCGGCGAAGAATTGGACCGTAAAATGGAGCAGATGGGGAAGAGGCTCGCGGAAACGGAGAAGCATTTTACGGCAACCAACCAGAAGTTGGCGGATGAGGTGCAGCTGGCGGGCGCGATCGACGGCGGACGGTTCGCAAGGACTCAGGAGGATGTTTCAGAGGTACGCGAACGGCTGGTGGCATTGGAATCGGAGAAAGGAGGCCAAGATGCGCGGTTGGAGGCGCTGGCCAATGCTACGGGAAAGGCCTCCGAGGAGGCTTCGATTGCAAATGAAAGCTTGCGCCAAGCGGCGTGAGTGTTGGGCGACCTCGGCGCCGCCGTTCAAGCGCAGCAAAACGCCCAAGAGACGGTTTCCGAACGAGTGGAAAGCATGGCTGCGAACCATGCTCGAGAAACGGCCTCCATGGCCAGCGAGCTCGGCGGCATCAAGCGCGCCATCGAGGCGCTGGACCGCAGGATGTCCGAGGCAACGTCCAGCCTCGTCGTTCGGCCGGCTATGCCGCCCTCGACCGTTCGGAGTCGGTCGCCGTTGCCGGTGGCCTCGGGCGCGGAGGATGCAGGTGCCGCGGAGGGAGATGCCGCCCCCGTGGGGCCTGTTCACGAAAAGGTTATGCTTTACGAGGGGTTACGCACCCCTGGCGTAACGGGGAGCTGCGAGACGGCACAAGGTGTGAGTTTTGGAGTTCCTTCGCTGCCCGTTGGTGCTGTGTCGTGGAGTGAGAATCCTGTGAACTGGAAGGTGAATCAGAATGTGGACTGGGATGCATTTCGGAACAAGCAAATTCCCAGTAGCGTGTACTTAGGGACAATGGTGCAAACTGTCCCAAGTACTACAGTGCAAACCACTATGGCACCGCCGGAGAACTTGGGAATTGCGAGCGGAATTGCAGCACCATTGTTGCCTCCTGGTATCAGTCAGACAGCAGGCACTTCAGTACAGCCTGGTTAATCTTCCCATGGTCAATGAGCTGGTCCGAGTGGAGTACCGTCACGAGTGAGTGGAGCTGGAGCATTTGGAGCTGGATTCCCTACACAGTCGGCTCGCCAACCTCCTTTCCGGGGGTTAGGTGTGCCAGAGGATCCCTACAGCGGGCTGGGATCATATGGATCCCTGGGTGGTGGAGCTGGAGGATCAGATGGTCACGAACCACCAAGGAGACCACCCAGAAGGTCACCCTCAGGAGGCCCGCCTGGTGGCCCGCCTGGAGATGGCAGTGATGGCGGAGAGGACGATTCGATGGGCGAGAGAGAGTCATCACATGGAGGTGGGTTGCCGGATGTTGGACACAGAGCTGCCGCTATCCCTGTCGACACTGGATTCGGGAGATTGAGGATTCCGATGCCAGAGAGATTTTCTGGCCACCATCAGGATGTAAGCTGCACAGAATGGGTGCTGGCCATGTGCAGATGGCTGCGTGGCAATGCCGTGGACGAGTCACACTGGCTGTCAGTGATGTCAGCAAACTTGTCTGGAGCTGCCATATCGTGGATGAACTTGGTAGAGCTGCAGGTCTATCAGAGGAAACGAGCACCTTTTGCTGGTTGGCGAGAGTTTACTGAGGCGCTGCGTGGCACATTTGAGTCAGCCACGCTGGGAGAGCAGGCTAGGCGCAGACTCCATACTCTGCGTCAATACAAGTCTGTAGAGGCTTACGTCAGGGAGTTCCAGAAATGGAGCTTCAGATTGCCTGACATGTCTCAAGCGGAGCGTTACTACCAGTTCATCGAGGGCCTCAAGGAGCCCATGAGATCTACAATGGCGTCTTGGGTGCCTGAGGACCCTGATCAGGCCATCGCAACAGCTCTGCGTCTTTCTAGCCTTCAGCATGGGGGCTGGGAGCAGTCTCAGGGGCAGAGCCAGGGCAGAGGTCAGGGCCGACAATCTGGTGGATGTGGACGAGGCAGAGAACGTGGCCAGCAGCAGCAGCAGCATCAGGTTCATGCCGTCAGTCAGTCCCAGTAGCAGCAACAGCCGTCTCAGTCTCAGTCAGATTCAGTTGCAGCAGTTCAGCAGGGTGGCAGAGGCAGAGGCAGAGGCAGGGGTCGTGGACAGCAGAGTGGTGATGGCAGTCGTGGGCGTGGTGTGTGTCGGCTCTGCAAGAGTCCAGGGCACTACGTTAGTGTTTGCCCACAGCTGGAGGAGGCTGCTAAGCGGTTAAACTAGCCGCGGGGCAGCATGCACCGCCCACGCTACCCCGGAGAGAGTAGGGTGATCCGGCCAGGAGAGCAAGTCGCCAGACGCTGGAGATTTCTGGGCGGAAGTTTGTGAAGGTGAGCCATCCTCGGTGGAATTCTGTGTTGGTGGGGCCACGTATTGCTGTTATGGCCTCAGAGGAGTCTCATCTATCTGGGCGCACTAGCCCAACTGCAGTAGATGGTCAGAGTGTT